GAATGCTTATTAACAAGCCGTTGCAGCTTCTTCGCTGATGAATGCTTATTAACAAGCCGTTGCAGCTTCTTCACTGATGAATGCTTATTAACAAGCCGTTGCAGCTTCTTCACTGATGAATGCTTATTTGCTCAAACACAAAAGCGAACAAGTGTTATTCCAGATGGAAGAAAAAAATACAATACTCACGTGCAAACATATGGAACAGTTGAAAAAAACAACAACATATAAACGTGCAGTTCTCTCTCTATTTAAACAACAACAACATAGAAACGTGTAGTTGTCTCTCTCTATTTAAACAACAACAACAACAACATAGAAGCGTGTAGTTGTCTCTCTCTATTTAAACAACAACAACATAGAAGCGTGTAGTTGTCTCTCTCTATTTAAACAACAACAACATAGAAACGTGTAGTTGTCTCTCTCTATTTAAACAACAACAACAACAACATAGAAGCGTGTAGTTGTCTCTCTCTATTTAATTGTATAAACATGTTCTTCCTTGTCAGATAAGTGATTCATTAATGAACATTAGGAAGTTCCACTTTTGACAAGCTCCGTTCTTCGAAACGTCCAGCAGAGTCTGACAGTGTTTCTCTGTTTTATTCTATAGTAGGAATCATTTTCTGTTTTCAATACTGAATATCAAGTGTTTCACTATCTCCGTTACTTCTATACTTTTTTTTTTCGTCTTTTATGCTTATGTTCCGTTGTGTGGTTTGCCAGTTAGGCTGATCATCAATGAAGGATGGGGACCTTCACCCCCTCCCCCAATAACTACATTCTGGTGCAGATTTGATTCTGAGAACATTATTTCTTTTATTCAAATTCTGAATATCCATACTTATGTAGATATATAAATATAAATCAATCAATAATTCTAATACTATAATTTATATTAATTGTAAATATGTGATGTAATCAGCATTATATAACAATAATAAAATTAATATAAATCAAAATGTCCAAAATGAGAATGAAAAATGTTCCATTATCAGTCCTAGTCATCATCATTAACTCATAACGATAAATATCTGTGGTCATAGCTCCCAAAAGCGTTGGGGATATTCCAACTATCAGAATGATCCAAACGCAAGTATCAAAATAGTCAGCAGTTATGGAGAATCAGTTAAGGGTTAGGTATTGACTACTTGAACCCACAGCGTCTCAATTCTTACTGCCATTTTGTTTGTAATAACCCTAAATTTAACAAGGGTTTTATGCAATTTCGGAATTACATACCAAAATGTTAAGTTAGAACATGTAAAAATCTATATTTATATTCCACTTTTTAATGACTTTCTCCAAATTAGTGATAAATGTATTATTATTTAATGCATATTTTGTAAGTATGTTAGTTGTACTAATTTCATTAATTAAAATTTGTGCATATACATTTTCATATAAAACTAAAGCTCCAACATGCTTTATTAATAGACGGTAATAATAAATTGTTTCTTAATTTCTCTAATTTTATCTTTAAAGGTATTAAAAGAAATATTTAACTGTTTTTATAGAATTAATAAAAAATAATTTCAATTCAGAAGAGAAACACGGAGGATAATGAGATTGTTTAATAATGTTTATAAGATAATGATAATTTTTTTCTAAATCCTTTTAGATACCTTTTTCTAAAACCAGTTTTAAGTCCTTATTTTTAAAAACCTCTAAATTACCTGTAACAATATGATTCTGAAAAGAATCAATACATTCACTATTGATACAGTTACAAGGTAAATTATCAATTTCTTTGGGATTTAATTCTTGAATACAGTTTTTGTAATTAAAAACGAGAGGTCCTATTGGTTTATTGTGTTTAAAACTAACTATAGGTTGTAATGATTTAATAGGAAATATCTCTTCTTCAACACTTTTATGAATCAATATTAGTAGAGATAAATCATTATATATTTTATGTCAAAATGTGTTACCATATAAAATTTGCTTCTTTTGTTCTTTACCGGAATGTTTATTGTAAATTAGATCTATAATTAAATCTTTAATATGAATATATTAGAATTCAAAATTTAACATATATTTCGACCAATATTTAAGTTTTGTATCATTTAATTCAAATAATTGTTTTATTATGAATTTCGAAATATTAATAGTTTTGTCAAGAACAGAATGTAAATGTTTACAGAAATTCCCAAAATTAATCCATTTTCTTTCTATTGTTACCTTAATCCGTATTTTTAGTTTGTTTAATGTTATAAATATTTATCTGAAATAAACGGCTAATACAAGTGTTACAAGGCAGTGGGAGTTGAGACGCTGTGGGTTCAAACACTCAACTGCTAACCTCTATCTGATTCTCTATAACTGCAGACTAGTTTGACATCTGTGTTTGGATCTTGTCTGATCGACGGAATATCCCCAACGCTTTTGAGAGCTACGGTCACAGACATTTTCCATTATGAGTTAATGATGATGACATAGACTGGTAATGGAACATTTTTTGAAATTGTTTCGCATTTTTTTTAGTATTATTATAAACGTTTTGATTTATATAAACATATTATATATCCATGTTTGTGTTTGTGTATTATTCAAAGTCATAAAAAAGTACTTTAATTAAACTAAAATAAATGCAACATTATTATTAACTGTACAGTTTGAATATAGTAATAAAGATGGTAAAGTATGTCAATTTGAATAAAGACTTATTAAGCAAATATAAATTATAATCAAAACATATAACCATAGTAAACACTTCACCCCTCGTTTCGACAGAATAAACCGTTCGTTTCTCACTGTTTTAGTATATGAGCAATATAAAACCAAACCAGATTAATATGGTTAAAAACAGCATGTTTCAATACCAATGTATAAAGATAAAACAAAGGTCGGTCATATTGAAATTTGATTATGAAAAAATACAGCAGAATCCTCTTTTTCAAGTTTTTTTAACAACCGTAAGTACTTAGTCACATTAAGCAAACCTTTACCCATGTTAGAGACTATAGTAACTGTGGTGATCTTGAGGTGAAAACGAGACTATATAATTTTTGACATTTTAATGGACCAACATCATTATAGGTTAAATTTAGATAAAATAAAAAAAGTAAAGTAGACAAAGCAATAACTAAATATCATCCTAAAATGAAAACGTTTATGAATTCCGACCAATTAAGCCTACTTGAAGAGCATGTTTTAGTAACACACAATTTTATGGGCCCGGCATGGCCAGGTAGTTAGGACGCTTGATTAGCAATCTGGAGTTCGCGGGTTCGAATCCCCGTCCCATCAAACATGCTCGCCCTTTGAGCCAAGATGGCGTTATAAACTGCGGTCAATCCCACTATTCGTTGGTAAAATAGTAGCCGAAGAGTTGGCGGTGATGACTAGCTGCCTTCCCTCTAGTCTTTCACTGCTAAATTATGGACGGCTAGCGCAGATAGCTTTCGTGTAGTTTTGCGCGAACTTTATAACAAACCAAGCCAAAGCACAATTTTAGAAAAGTACCTGTGTAAGAGCGAAGTTATGCAAAATGAATCATAATATTATATGCAAGGCTTAAGAGACATGACTTAATTTTTCCAAACTATTAAAATGGACTAAATAAAACTGTTAATAACACCCATTTCTTACTTACGAAAAGTGACAGTTTGACGCTGTCGTTATTCATTTACTTTATTTTTTAAGCAATAACATAACTTATCTTACGTCTGTGCAGGAGAGATTAAGGAGAATAACTTACCAAATGAGTTGTATCTCCTGATGATGTTTTCCAGGAAGGTATTTTGGGGAGCAACAAGACCTCTTCTCCCCCCTGGCATTATGTCATACCTAAGAATAAGGAGTGAGGGTCATATTCAACAGAATCAGAGAGGACCAAGTCGGAGTATAACATATACGTTACTTAGTTTGTGTGTTTGTGCAATTTAAACTTTTTGAACAAATAGTCAACAGCCAGTCCGACAAGAATGTCAAACTTTACCTAAGAACAAGCGTTTAACAGGTAAAATCTGCTGTTCAAACTGCTTGAATATTTAGCCAACAGCACAGTTCGAAACAGACAGGGAACGTCAAATCTGACCAAAAAACAGCAGTTTAACAGGTAAAATCTTCAGTTCAAACTGCTTGAACATTGAGCCAATAGCAAATTAGAAACAGATAAGGAATGTTCAATTTGATCCAAGAAGAACAGTTTAACAGGTAAAATCTCCAGTTTAAGGTTTAGTTTACAAGCATTACAAAAATGAATATCAAGCGATTATTTGTAAGGTGTTCACCTCTTTCAAGTGTTTGGCAGTCCTATCATCTGACTGCCAACAAATACGTCATTCTCGAGCCTGTCGTGTAGTTTCAATTGGTGGACCTGAATGAACCTGGAAACGAGAATGTAGAGCGCTTATATTCCTAACTTTCCGTGATTGCATGAGAACGATGTGTGCCCACGCTGTAGATTGCTTAAACGGAAACAGTGCGCATGCTTATCGTCATAGTAACCAAGGTTGTAATCTTCTGCGTCCTGGTTTTAACTGTACGTTAACACGACTTTAACATCAATAGCTATCCTTTTCCTAATGACCTGTGTGAAGGCTGAGTTTTGGTAAATGAATCCTAATATTACATGTGAAGTTTAAGAGACTTTACTTCATTTTTCCTAATGATTACAATTGAACTGGGGTTTGGACTCATGTTTCTGACTAGTACTATAAACCAATACATTTAGCACCAGACTTCTGCATTATTCCATTTAAAATATTCTTATTATCAAAATACACTCTTCCACTCAGATATATAAAAAGGAAAGTGACTTAAATTTTACCGTGTATATGTTTTAATATCTTTGTTTCTTTCACTCTTATCAAATGATAAAGGCTACTTCAGGACCTTTTCAAAAATGTCATTGAATTACATGACATCATGTAGCAAATGATTTTCAAAATATTGTTTGAGTTAGGACGTTAAGCCTAATTTCCAGTTGTTAATAAGTAAGTGAAATAGGATTTCGTGACTACAGCTTGTGAGATAGCAAATTCTGTTTTTATTTGATTGTGCTTTTCCTTATCGTTCATTTATTATTCCTTCTATCGTTTAGTCCGCCAGTGGCACAGTGGTATGTCTGTGGACTTATACCGCTAGAAACCGGGTTTCGATACCCGTGGTGGGCAGAGCACAGATAGCCCATTGTGTAGCTTTGTACTTAACAACAAACAAAATCTATGGTTTAGTTTATCTATGAATTTTTAGTTACATTTAAAACGCTAACTCACCTTTTATATGATAACGTATATTTTGAGTATTTTGCATGTATTATGAGACTGACATCAGTTTCCCCTAGTGGAGACGTACAAATATCATTAATGTTGCACGAGAGTATATACAGATATTTTGCACAGGATTACATAAATTACGATCACATAATTTGTAATTTCGTGATCTAACAAGTGAATAAAAATACTTCATTGAACTGAAACAAGTTAGTTCATGAGATGTAGCTGAACAATATTATTGCTGATTATTGCTCGATGTTGTTAATGATTTTGTAGTTTAAATACGGAATAGTGTTATTTTGGAATTAGTTTATTTTTGTCTGGATCTCCACCCCCCCCACCCCCCTCATTCCTTCATATACTGAAATATTTATTAACCTGGATTTATATATTGTATTATTCATTAGCGTTAGTTTCAAGTCCTAGCCAAGGACATATTTCTTTACTGTGTTTTCGTAAGTTATCAACTTTGTATTTCAAACGTTTGAAAGTCACACTTTGGATTTCTGTGGTTTTCAAAGTATAATAAAGTTTTGTTTATTATAATGTATAGATATAAGCAAAGGCTAATTATCGACTTAAAAAATAAAATCTTATGTAATCGGTACCGGAAGCTTTTAGTCATTATTGTTTAAAACTAATATTCATTATTTTAACAAATGTGCCAAACAAAACAATGTTTGTTTTTTCAGGAAAATAACATAAGAATAAACGAGAAACTATGTGTAGAAAGTAGCAACAAATTAAGGAGAGGTGGGTTTACTGATATTACTCATAGTGTGAAATAACGTAATATAGCGTCTGTATTTTCACGTCTCAGTGCATACTTGTTCAAATATGTGACCATGTTTAACAGTAAACGTTTTACGAAATTTGCGAGTCGTATCATGACATTTGAACACAATACAGAAATTGTTTTCCGTAAACACACACACTCACACAAAAAAACACATCAGGAATTATTCAATATTAGATTGAATATTTTGTATCTAAGTTTACAAAAAAAATGATATACATATCAGTCTGCAGTGGTTATTCATATAGCAACCTGTTAGCCTGTTTATACGGCAGTCTGTCATTCTGTAGTGGCTGCTTATAAGGCAGCCAGTCAGCTTGCAGTGACTGTTTATACATTATTTTGCTTCTGTAGCAGATAATATCAACGACACAGGTGCTTTCTTTCAAACCTGCCGCTTGGAGCACTGCAGTTAGCCTAATTACTTTTTCGAGTTGAGTGGATCGTCTTAGCGATATAGGGTCTTTTGTTACAAGTAAAGAAAACTTTTCAAAAAAAGAAGTAAAGGTAGGAATGGCTAATATCAATCCTTCAAAAGCAATTCAAGCAAGATAGTAAAGATGGCATTTGCTATTATTAATTTAATTTTTTGTGCTTAGAGTGTTCGCATTAATTAAGTTTGTTAAAGTTTTGTGTTTAATCAGTTCTAAATACAATGAGGTTCCAGTTGTATTATTTATTTTACTGTATTTTTTAAATACTTATTGTTTATCTATTATTGGCTTGTATTCCTGTTTCACACTTGTACATGAAGTTTCTGTAAAAAAAAACTATCTTCAAGGGGTAATGATAACATCGTTTTCATTATTATTATTTTTAAATTACTACTCGTTATTAATACCTCAGTGAAATTGGTTGACATCATTGTTTTCATTTTTAAGTTATCACGTAATAAAAAGAAGAAGCAGAAAAAAGAATAAGAAATTCAGACTTTTTGCTCTGATATTTACAGACATTCCCAGAACTTGTAACTCACTCATTACATAGATATTGTTATGAAAGAAACACTGTATAGTATTGTAAAGTTCTGATGACGTATTGTTGAGATATTTAAAATAATATTTCGATGAACAATTCGAACCACCCCTTCATAGGCAGTGCTACCGCCTGTCTGATAATAATAGAAGTGAAAACGTTTTAGAATAAAATGCTTATCTGTCTAAAAATTAATATATTGACATAATTTCCAGTAACATTTTTATAAGATTAATTTTATCAAAAATAAAAACGAAAGCCATTTGAACATGCCTTGATAACGAAAACTTAATTGAACATCCTCGGCTAACTGCGTGACCGATGTATACATTGGAAACAAAGTTTGAGGTTTTAGCGTTAAATCAAATGTAGCACCGAGTTTCATTAATTAACGTGTGATAATACAATTACAACTGTAGAAAGAAAATAATTTGCTAAATAAGGTGACAGCCTGTGAATAAAGAGAAAGAAAGGTGTGCTTTCTAGTCCCGATAAAACCGTTTGAGATTTTTCATATTCGATTTAATGTTTTAAGAAGACGTTGTTTAAATTTTTTGTGTTAAGAGTGTTCGCATAAATTTTGTTAAAGTCTTTTTATTTTTTCACTTTGGGAATATGCTAGTTTTCTGCGGTTCTTGATATAATCATTCCAACATTTTTCGAATTGTGAAATATGAATTTTGTAAATAACTTAATTCCAATACATAGTCTCAATACATATCAATTTCTTAAGCAACACTATCAGACCATGCTGCTAGGTGGTATCTGTCTTGATCACAATTTTAAGGTCTCAAATCATGTTGCAAGGTTTCAGCCTATTAGATCGCATTTTAGGATCACATCCATTTACATCACAATTATAGTATGGGCTCTGCCACTTGTTAGAATCAGATGTCACCAATTCACTGTGTTATGGTAACTTATTATCACTTAATGTTGTGAAAGTTACATGCCATCAAATTACTATGTTTTGTTAGTTTTCGTCACTCCATGTTGTAAAATTTGTAACCGCTGTTTTATAATCGATTTCCATCACTCCACTTTGTTAGAAGCACATTCCAATATATCACGTTGATAAGGTTTCATCCTATCAGTTCGCCTTCTTAAGATAATACTCGTCAAATCATGGTCTTAAGGTTTCAATTCACATTGTTAGGATCCTTTGAGATCTAGATGGTATGGTCAAATCATAGTATATCATAATTTTTTATGTCTCACTCTATCAAACTATGTTTTTAGTATCACATTTAAACTATACAGTAGAATCTCATAAAAAGAAAAGAATACCTACAAGATTACTCAATTGTGAATCGTAAATAAATATATTGATTAATAATTCCTTCATTACATTTTATGCAGTTTAAACCTATGTTTAGATCTTATAATATTTTAATACATGTTTTTTAACTGATAAAATTTTTATTTTATATATAACCTATAAATAAATTTTATCGTACCTCTGCCCCACAGTCTGAGGGCTTACAACATTAGAAAGCGGGTTCGATACCTGTGGTTGGAAGAGCACAGATAGTCCATTGTGTAGCTTTGTGCTTAATTACAAACAAACAGACTGGTCTCTCTATATGAATTATTTTCTTTAATACAGATTATATTTTTATTACTAAATGCTAATCATATTTCATTTGGAATATTATTATAAAATTTTGGTGCTGATGTAAATAATATTTTTTCTAAATATTTCCTTATTTTAGTTTAGGAAGTTTTAAACCCTAACATTCTTCAGTTCTTGCCTGATATATTAATTTTATTTTTTGTCTGCCTTGAATATCTTTACTGAATTTATTTGCTCCTCCTGGGGCTCAGCAATACGACGCCAAAAATTGATAAGTATTAGGAAAAAAATTTATCGCTAAATAGAAACCTATGAATGGCTGGCTATTGAACTTGACAAAGATAACCAAACAAGATGGGGATGGAAATGGACATATCCCTTGATCCGGCTAATGACCACATGGCAAACTAAGCTGTCTCGACTTTACATGGATAAAAAACAACAAAAAAAAACATTAATGACTTCCCCACTTTGTCCATCGAAAGCTTGGTGTTTGAATAGAATCTCAACTTTCATCCGGTTAATTTTATAATAATATCTTTATGACTATCTTACAATAAAGTAAAATTTTACGATTGGAAATTCTGGTTCTATTTGTTTTGTTAGTGAGGAAGCCAGTAATGTAGAGATTTTATTCTCCATGTAAAGTCGAGACGGCTTAGTCTGCTGCGTGATAATCAGCCGGATCAAGTGATATGTCGGCTTCCATCCCTATCGTATTCTTTTTTTCAAGTTCAGTAGCCAACCCACATAGCTTTTTTATACGAAGGGGACGTGAGTTATTAGGTTATAGAGTGTGTTCTAAATCTTTATAAATTTTGTATAGAATAATAACAAAATAGGTAGTCAAAGATCGTGAAAACTGTTTTGTTCTATGAAATGATGATCAAATAATAGTAAATGCTAGAACTAGGTAGGCACTAGGCCTGTTGAAGGAAAGTGTTGATGAATGAAAACAAGAAAGCTCGGTTTTGGCTATCAGCCGTTTTTTGACTTTGGGACGCTCTAGCTAGCTGAAAAGCGGCATGTACACCAGAGATAGAGCATCTATGCCAATTTCTGATAACATTAGAGAAAAAAGGGCGTCTGTGCCATCTCTGCAATGAAAGTGCTAGCGAATTCTCTGATACCCATGGTGGGCAAGACATAGGTATTCCATTGCGTAACTTTGTGCTTAATAATAACCAGCCTTCCAGTGGCACAGCAGTATGTCTGCGGACCTACAACACTAGAAACGGATTTCGATACCCGTGGTGGGAAGAGCACAGATAGCCCATTGTGTTTCAAACAAATAATAACAACCAATTGAATATATTTAATATTTTAAGTGTATAATTCATGCAGCAGTAGTATATTTAAATTTTTGATATGTAATATAGTATGACACTATTGTGATAGTTATAATATACATCTGATATCTGTATCAAACCGCTTACATTAGCTAGATTATATTTTGTTTGATTCTCAGACAAGCATTTTTTAAAGAGCAAAATAATTCTGCTGATATTTTAATTTTTTCTATTACTTTCATTTGTTCTTCCCAATTTAATCCACAACTTAATACTATTTCAAGCTACTTAATACTTTCTGATATTTGTAGAATTAAAGTAATATCCATATTATTCTAGACACATAAATATTTGCCAATTCAATTCTCATAATAATAATTCACTTGGAATTATTTAATTTGATTTTTGTAGAAAATATCATACACAGTGTTTGCTTTACATTTAAACATAATAAATTATTATAAATCACTTTCTTATGCATTTTAAATCATTATTTATTTTATGACCCCATTATTAGACTTTCCACTCATCTGGAAAAACTTGGTATTCCCCCATTAAACGTAATTTCACAAAAATCATTTGAATATAATAGAAACAGTAATGGACTTAAAACTGATCCTTAGTTTTTTTGTTTTTTAGTTTCGCGCAAAGCTACACGAGGGTTATGTGCGCTAGCCGTCCCTAATTTAGCAGTGTAAGACTAGAGGGAAGGCAGCTACTTATCACCACCCATCGACAACTCTTGGGCTACTCTTTTACCAACATCACATTATAACGCAAACATGTTTGGTGGGAGGGGGGATGCGAACCCGCGACTCGTAGATAGTAAGTCGAGCGCCCTAGCCCCTGGCCATGCCGAGCTGTGATCCTTACAGTACTCCTGAAGTTAAGCTCACTTATAACATTATTTGTTTTAATTACTTGCTTTCTATTTAATACAACCAACCACTTATTCCAATTTTCTAAAGTATTTTAGAAAATTTTCTTGTGTAATCGTGTCAAAAGCTTTTGATGTATCTAGAGAAAAGCGTATGCTATTTTCTAATCATTAATCAATTTATTTAATCTATTAATAACTGCAATTAATGAATTATCTATGTTAATATTTTCAGAAAGCAATTATCGAATCTAAAAATGTTATTATTCTTTCTTTAGCAATCTTTTCGAGAAATTTTGATCAGAAAATGATAAAGCAATCGGTCTGTAATTATCTAAATCACATTTACTTCCTTCCTTTTTTAAATTTTGGTATAATGATAGTAGTTTCATTACTATTTTAAAACTTCTTCTGTAATCGTATATTTTCCTGCAATTTTTCCGTTTTTATAGAGTTTATAATTTCATATTCATTAGTTGGTATTATATACATTGAATTTAGAGACGTTAGTTTTATACCATCTTCTCCCCACTGCGCATGTCACAAGGTTTTTAGTGAGTTACATTCATTAAACCACTTTTTATTTATGTTATACAAATTAGTGTAGCATAAAATCTGAGCATATATTGGATATTTTAATAATATATATGTTTTAAGTTCTTAAAAGTTTTTAAGGCAATATTTAAAAAAAATCATTAAGCTCCTTTAGTGTGAGAAATGTGAAATTTTTTCCCTAGGCATCCCCTCTTCTCTAATTTATACACCATCCCTCCAATAAGCACAAAATTTAAAGTAAATTATTTACTATAATATTTCCTAGCCTTCAATAGTGTTAGGTAACGGAAATAAGTGATGGGGATAAGTATTAGTATCAAAGAACATAAAAGTCTCCTATCACACATTTACGAACACAGTACAATGAATCAACATGCAATTATCATTAACAACTTTAAAATATTATGCAATGAGAACAACACTGATAGAAGAAAAATAAAAAGAAGCATTTATATATATTATTCCTTGAAGTAAAACCTAATTTATATCAAAACACATGTGTCACCCTCTATGTTTTCTAAATTGGAACAAAATGCTTGCGCAATATTTCACAAAAATCGATAAAGTTACCTGATGATGGCCACAAGAGTGGTTGAAACGTCGTAAAAAAAGTTGAATAAATATAAACAATCCACTCAAAATCTGTATCTTTGGACTTTTACTTAAACCACAATATTCCTGCAAAATACGTAAAGTAGAACACAAAAGGTGAATGTGTGATCAGCGTGAACATAATAACACCATAAAGAAAGTACTAATCAAATAAGTTTGTGAAAAATAAACATTAAGATACAAGTAATAAGTTGTTAAAAAGCAATTAGAGACAGAATTTAATATTAATGTAACTTGAACTTCTCTACCTTGTATAAACTCTATATTCGTATACATAGTTTGGAGTATTGAGACATTCTTTGAATGTCAATCATATTTCGTCCTTTTAAAACATCTTAGTTTTAACTATGCCTTCCTTTACATTTTGTTATAAACAATCCTAAATAGTTTCATAGATTTTTTTTACAGTTAACAGATCAAAATCTTACCTTGTATCCATACATATTTGTTTTGTTACAGACAATGATGAACTGTAAGATCAAACGTGATATTCATTTATTTTGTTCAGATGTTTTCTAATAGCCAAATGCTACATTTCTTTTTATGCACATTTTATGTATTAAGCTGTTCATAGTATAGCTTATTATTAGTTTCGAAATTTTATAAAAGATCATATCTTTTTTTGGATATATATTTTTCCAAAATGTTAATTTACATTTTTACATGTTAACAGAATTCGCAAAACGAAACTGACTTATTGAAAGCATTGTTAAATATCTTCGTGTAACTTGCAAAAACAAAATCTTGTATGAAATAATTCGTTTGGTTCTTGTATTTTGTCATTATATAAGGATGATTACAAGAACTAGCACTCGTTAATGTACGGGACTATAACGAGAACTATATGCTATAATTTTCGAATGCAAGAAAGATTGTTTTTGTCTTTTAAAATTTTATTTTGTTTCTCAGGATATTCTTATCATCAATTACTATATCTCGTGGGTTTTCGACCCGTATTTTTCCATTTCTCATGATGATGACAAAACCTTGTCGAAACGTTGTACATTTGCTGTTATGTTAAACTTATATTAAAGTTTTTCTTCATTACCCATTCAAGCTGTCTCCAGCCATTATTACACTACATATACGCTTGAAGCTGGCTTATAATGTGAAAAGTTTCATTGTCGTATATTTTTTTAGTCTTACATCTTTTTTTTTCTCCACCATTTAAGTTTCTATTTACCCATCAACTCAGACAATCAATCTACTTACCTATCTCGTTTCTGTGGCTCCTTTCTTTTCTTCATTCCACTGTCTCTTTCATTTTCACAAGATGAGTCTGTTGTCGTAAGATGGTAAGATAGTGTATTCTTGTTCTTATTTTTCACATTTTATGAAGTTTTTGGTTTTAATATAGTAGCTTGTGCATAAAGTTCTGACTTTTCAACTGAATAACATGAGGCTGTTTGTGTACCAGACGACCACCCAGCTTATACTGCTACTTTCTGCCGCTGCAACTATTGAAAAAGATATTTTCACACCAACATATCATTCACAAATTACCCTGTTTGTCTTGCAACGGCAGGATTTACTTTTAGATTGTTTAACTCGGCATTATTTATATAAAGTTTAGAAAAAACTACCTTTATACTCCAGATATATATAAAATAATACTGGGTTAATATAGACAACTGTTTGATATTAGAATATTCGTTAAAGTATAAAGGCAAAACGTTGGGTAAAATAAAACAAAATATTTTATATATATCTATAGTATAAAGGTCGTTTTCTTTTAAACTTTTTATCTGGATTATTGGACTACAATAAAACTGGTGTTCTAAGATGTGTTATGAATGATGTATTTTACAGAGAAATAAACGTTTAATAATAATCACAAATAAAGAAGTACTTTTTACTAAAAATAACACTGAGCAATAATAGCGAAAACAGTTTAGCATAATACAATTAACACGAGAAATGTAATTAATGAAAAAATCAGTTGTTAAGTGTCAAGGAACATGCGTATACAAAATTGAAAAAGTTGGGGATCAAAAGGTAAAAAAAAGAACAAGATAGTAGAGATTGTTATTTCAATATTACTTTAGAAACTAGTATAATCCATTGGTATTTAAAGTGTATTATATTTTGTTGTTCAATGGTGATGATATATTAACTATCGGTATTTTCAATGGTGATGATATCTTAACTACCGGTATTTTCAATGGTGATGATATCTTAACTACCGGTATTTTCAATGGTGATGATATATTATCTACCGGTATTTTCAATGGTGATGATATCTTAACTACCGGTATTTTCAATGGTGATGATATCTTAACTACCGGTATTTTCAATGGTGATGATATATTATCTACCGGTATTTTCAATGGTGATGATATCTTAACTACCGGTATTTTCAATGGTGATGATATATTAACTACCGGTATTTTCAATGGTGATGATATCTTAACTACCGGTATTTTCAATGGTGATGATATATTAACTACCGGTTTTGTTTCTTCTGGAACCAGAATTAACATGATTATCTTATATTTAGCATTCATCTTTAATGATGAACGAGGATTAATCTCTAACTCCCCAGTGACTACAGTTTGCTCGGAAAATCTAAAGTAATGTTTAGAAGAAAGTCGACTACTTGTGCCTTATCTGTACTAACATATTTGTTTCACGTGTATTGTGAACCTAGTGGATTAATTGTCTCTCTCTCTCACACACACACACACATACAAATATATAATTCACTCGGAGCAACCAGTGTTGTATATTGTCTCCATTGAAATAAATTATTCTTTTGACTTGTTTTCAAAATAATTTTATAAGTTGAGATTTAATAAATACAGTCTATATTTTCTCTCTGTCTAGTAACAACTAACATGTTTTCAATCCTTCATCTTCAAAAGATTATTTCAGTCCATTATAGTCATGATATGTATATAGATTTCTATTTCTCATTAGAACATGTTAGTAAATATCACCATTGAGTATCCATATAGATTTTAGTATCATTAATAAAGTTTTTATTTTAGCTTGCAAAAAGATGTCAACTTCTGCAATCTCATTTCTGGAATGTCGTGTATTAAAAATAGCTTAACATTCTTAGATCAGTAGCTTATATAAGACTGATTATGCATGTTAACATATCTTTCTTTACAACCCCTATATGATTTTCCACTAATAAGAACATAACAGCATTTCAGCCGCACATTTTATGTATGATATATGTGTATAGATATTTATTTGTAAAAACATATTGTAAGTTACAATATAAAGTATAACGATACTTATGATAAACAATATCATTTATTTATAACACTAGGGGGTACAGATAAACGTTTCGGAATTCCACAGATTCTATTTTAAGTATCTAAAGCAAAATAAGAAAATTACATCATTCCTAAGTAAGTGACTGAAATACATTGCTAATATAACAGTAATTTAATAAAAACTACAACATAAAAATTAAATGGATAACAAACAAAATACTGTACATATTAGAAAATCTACAATTTAAACGAAGACTGCATGCTGTTCAGTGTTGGTGAAAGTTGTTTGATGTTGAGGGTTTCTTTAATCAGTAATTTCAGATCAGTGTTAGCTTTGCAAAGGATATTGAAAGTTGATAGGGTAATTTCATGTCCTGTTGGCGTATAAAGGAAACACAGGAGTTACTCTACTTTTTATGATTATTTCCTGCGTTGCCACTAAAACATAATTATTCACTGACCATCCAAAATAGTCTCATCACTGTCCGGAAGACGTTTCACTCACTGGAACCCATAGGCATGTTTTGTGAACGCTATCACTAGACCTTTCCACCTGTGTGAAAACGGACCGATGTATGGTCCCCAGGGGAATTAGGTGGCAGAGCATACACTATGCTCATTTGGTTTCAGAGAAACCTTACTTGTCAGTCTCATTGTACTGAAATGACATACAAGATACGATCAGTAGGTCACGCTCTACCAGTATATGAATTGATATCTCATAAATAACTGTTATAAATAGCGTTTCGATTAATACTTTGCCTACTGCATGTCCAGCCAACCTGATGAGATCTGATATTGAACGAAAAGACTCGTCGGCAACGATATTCATCATGCAATCGCCAACACAGGTGTTTCAGACCATAAGAATTTAATATCATGTTTAAAACTGAAAAAACAAGATATGACGTACCTTGCAGTTAAACAGCACATTATATAACTACATTACGAATATAACCAAAGCCTAGAAGAACTGTTTACAGTGCAGCTATCTGTACTTCACTGTACTGATAGAGTGATGAAGCAATGACTGTTGCACATAAGAAACACATTCTCCACCCTCGTTATACCTACAGCTTCAACTGTTTAGTTAATGGTTTTTACTGTTTCATCTGTCTTGGGAAAAATAAAAGTTACCATACACAGAGAAAAGCTTGCTAAAATGGATGAAGTTTAATGTTTGTGTTAATCTTTAGTTACTTGCTGTAACAAGAATGGTTGGATTTTAATGTTTGATTATCAGCAAGTAACTAAAGATTAACACTAAACATTAAAATCCAACCATTCTTTGTTAATCTTTAGCTACCTTGCTGATAACAATAATTATGAATATAGTTGATACAAATACAAAACACTGAAGCCAATATAGCTTTTACTTTTCACGTAAATGAACTTTCGAAAGTTTTTGACATCAATTTTCAATTGCACATTGTTTCTGGAGTCCAAATATTATGGAAACCTAATTTGGAAATTCATGTCGATTGAGTATGACACTGACAATCTGTGATATATTTGAGATAGGATACAGTGAAATATTTCCGTCGATAAAACTATTTCTATTTTGACGGAAACACACTATTAACTATAGTTATTAACTTTGAATTGAATTTTATTCCTCCTACTAGTGACATTGAAGAGCAGAAAAAACCCATAAAGGCATCTGAATTACTGACAGTGCTTTGTTAATTTGGTAAATTAACTAATACTTTCTTCTAAAACAAAATCAAATATTTTTATAACTCATTAGAACATTACTCGAAT